AAAAAAACTAGCTGGGCGTGGTGGCGCGTGCCTGTAATCCAAGCTACTCAGAAGGCTGAGGCAGGAGAATTGCCTGAGCCCAGGAGGCGGAGGTTGCGGTGAGCCGAGATCGCGCCATTGCACTCCAGCCTGGGTAACAAGAACAAAACTCCATCTCAAAAAAAAAAAAAAAAAAAAAAAAAAAACACGATGCTGCTGGGGCACGGTGGGTCACACCTGTAATCCCAGCACTTTGGGAGGCTGAGGAGGGTGGATCACGAGGTCAGGAGATCAAGACCATCTTGGCCAAGATGGCAAAACCCTACCTCTACTAAAAATACAAGAATTAGCTGGGTGTGGTAGCACATGAGACTGAGGCAAGAGAATCCCTTTGAACCCAGGGGGTGGAAGTTGCAGTAAGCTGAGATCTCACCACTGCACTCCAGCCTGGTGAAGGAGTGCAACTCTGCCTCAAAAAATATGTGTGTTTGTCTGTGTGTGTGTGTGTGTGTGTGTGTGTGTGTGTGTGTGTATGAATGAGATAGCAAGTAAAAGAAGTCAGATCGAAAGGGCCACGGAGGATTCCACAAATGTGAAATGTCCAGAATAGGCCAAATTCATAAAGACAGAAAATAGCCTGGTTGTTACCAAAGGTGAGGGAAGGGAGGAATGCTTAGTTGACTGCATAATAGGGATGAGGTTGGTTTTGAGGTGATGAAAACGTTCTTGAGGCCGGGCGCGGTGGCTCAAGCCTGTAATCCCAGCACTTTGGGAGGCCGAGGCGGGTGGATCACGAGGTCAAGAGATCGAGACCATCCTGGTCAACATGGTGAAACCCCGTCTCCACTAAAAATACAAAAAATTAGCTGGGCATAGTGGCGTGTGCCTGTAAATCCCAACTACTTAGGAGGCTGGAGGCAGAAGAATTGCCTGAACCCAGGAGGGCGGAGGTTGGGCGGTGAGCCTGAGATCACGCCATTGCACTCCCAGCTTGGGTAACAAGGGTGAAACTCCATCTCAAAAAAAAAAAAATAAAAAAAATTCAGGAAAAAAGATTAGCCGGGTGTGGTGGCACTCGCCTGTAATCCCAGCTACTCAGGACACTGAGGCAGGTGAATTGCTTGAACATTGGAGGCAGAAGTTGCAGTGAGCTGAGATCGTGCCACTGCCCTCTAACTTGGGGGATAAAGTGAGACTCCATCTCCAGGGGGGAAACATTCTAAAATAAGAGACAGCTATACAACTCTGTCAATATCCTACAAACTTCTGAATTGTAGACTTTAAAAAAGGTCAATTTTGTAGGCAATTATATCTTAAAAAAGAGATTTTAAAAAAACACAAATGCCAAAACTCCATAGGACTCTACACTATAAACAAGGTGGATACCTTAATAAACTTATCTTTTTCTCTCTCTCTCTTTTTTTTTTGAGACCGAGTCTTGCTCTGTCACGCTGGAGTGCAGTGGTGCCATCTCAGTTTACTGCAACCTCCGCCTCCCGAGTTCAAGCAATTCTCCTGCCTCAACCTCTAGAGTAGCTGGGATTACAGGCACCCACCACTATGCCCAGCTAGTTTTTGTATTTTAGTAGAGATGGAGTTTCGCTGTGTTGGCCAGGCTTGGTCTTGAACTCCTGACCTCAGGTGATCCTCCTGCCTTGGCCTCCTAAAGTGCTGAGATGACAGGTATGAGCCACCGTGCCTTGGCCAATAAACTCATCTTTAAAGAAGATTCGTATACCCTTTTATCAATTCTAAGTAAGCATCCTCAGAAAACACTAAAGAACATCCAGAAAGATTTAGCTTTAAAGATGTTTGTTATAGCACCGCTAAAAAGAGGAAATAAGCATACAGTGAACAGTAGGAGCCTGGATATTTATGAAATAACTATGTGGCCATTATGAATGTCATAAGAAGTTAATCATTGATGAAAACAGGTAATATATCAGGTCTCAGCAGGAAAGCAGGCACATTCAGATTGAGTAATCTAAGTAGGGTTTAATAAGGGTATTGTTTATACAGCAGGGTGCAGGAAAACCACAAGCTATAGGGCAGTACTTGGCAATCAGAAGCAGGGGGGAGTAAATAGTTATTGGAGTCAGGGAAAATCGCAGTGTGCAGAGAGCTGCCAGGTAGCCTGTCTTCCATGGAGGGACACATCCAACCAGCTGAGACCCAGCAAGGAGGAACCCTGGGGAATGAATGTCCAGAACCTGCTCTCCTCTCACCTGACAGCCTCATGCTGGCGCCACCAGTAGATGCGGCCACTGGGACATCAGAGGGCAGGGGTCCCTTAAGACAGTCCATTCAGGAGCAGGGTGGAGAGGGAATGTGAAGGACAAATGGAAGGTATCCAGCACAGATGGTCACAGCAGGAAACAAAAAGAGTAGCTTACAAGAGACTACACTTGAGAAAATTACAGATAATATACAACTTAAGAAATTCTGGGGCAGGCACGGTGGCTCACACCTATAATCCCAGCACTTTGGGAGGCCGAGGCGGGTGGATCATGAGGTCAGAAGTTCGAGACCAGCCTGGCCAATATAGTGAAACTCCATTTCTACTAAAAAATACAAAATACAAAAATTAGCCGCACGTGGAGGCACACGCCTGTAGTCCCAGCTACTTGGGAGGCTGAGGTAGGAGACTCACAGGAACCTGGGAGGCGGAGGTTGCAGTCAGCCAAGATCATGCCACTGCATTCCAGCCTGGGCAACAAGGTGAGACTCTGCCTCGAAAAAAAAAGAAGAAAAAAAAATTCTGGAACAATTATGAGGCCAAGGTGGGTAGATCACTTGAGGCCAAGAGTTCAAGGCCAGCCTGGCTAACATAGTGAAACCCCGTTTCTACTAAAAATACAAAAATTAGCCAGGGATGGTGGCATGATCCCAGTTACTCAGGAGGCTTAGGAACGAGCATCACTTGAATCTGAGAGACAGAGGTTACCATGAGCTGAGATCATACCACTATACTCCAGCCTGGGCAGTGGAGCAAGACTCTGTCTCAAAATAATAATAAAATTAATAAGTAAAAGTTTTTTCTACAAATGTTGGGTATTGCTTTTATGAAATAGAAACTATGTTCACTTTTTTCTTTTTAAGGAACTCAGTAGGGCAGTAGAAATATTTAAATTCCAATTCTCAGTAAACCCTATTTACCCTTCCCCAACTAAGTTTGCTCATGACAGTATGTAAATAAAAGGTGACCTAACCTTATTACATGGATACTACAACTCATTTTGAAGTCATCAGTAACAGGAAGGGCACAATTTACTCAGCTTCTTACAAATCATTTTCATTCTTCAAGTACTTGTAACAGTAATGAGATCACAGCATCCTACAATTCACAGGTCAAGTACTGGATTGCTTCTAGCTTGTTATAAAACTTTAAAAGGAAGGAAACTACCATGATTTGGTTTCCACATGATGTTACATTGACATCACCTTGAGTGTTTTAATAGGTAGAGCTACTTACTACCACTCGCCCCCAAAGCCAGAGCAAGCGATTGACATGTGATTTGCAAAAACACTACGTTTTGTTCTCTGCACAATTTCATTTCCCGAGGTTCAAGCAGGAAGTCAGGTTCTTAGTAATTCTTTGTCTCAGTATTTTGTTTTCACACGGGAGAAAGTAGCATTTTTCTGTGGGTAGGTAATCCTTAGTCTCAGGAATGAAACTGCAAAGATTTGAAACAGACACGCTCCACTATCCCCAGATAAAGAATCAATGGGTCCATATTTCATGATATCCAAGAAATCATCCATTATAAGCTGCTTCCTGATTCAGATATTAAAACATGAACAAAAAATATCCATTATAACCAACAAAACACGGTGTGTAATTTAAGGTGTTCCTTAGCATTTAGAATTTTTAAAAAGTATTTTTAGCTTAAAAGGCTCATACTACAGATGACAGTTTTAACCAGTAGGACTTTGGAGAAGATAACTTCAGACTATGTCACAAAACCCTTAAATTTATATAGCCTTTAGCCCAACAATTCTACCTCAAGGGACTTTTCCTCAAGAGAAGCACTCAACAAATATGGAAAGATGGACAAAGGAAGAAGATTGCTACGGCTCTGGTTATACTAGTCAAACCTAGAAACATTAGTTTTAAAACAGAAAACTGGGGAAATCAGGTTTTCTAGTTTAAGATAGAATTTTTATTCTATTCTATTTTTATTTCTGTTCTATTTTTATTTAGGATAGAAAATGATAGTAATTCCAAAGATTCAAGACCCTGAAAAATGTTCACAGCATAGTGTACAGCAGGTCACAGATCAGTTAGAAAAAAGTCACAAGAAAATATATGCAAAGAGGCCGGGTGCGGTGGCTCAAGGCTGTAATCCCAGCACTTTGGGAGGCCGAGGCGGGTGGATCACGAGGTCAAGAGATCGAGACCATCCTGGTCAACATGGTGAAACCCCGTCTCTACTAAAAATACAAAAAAATTAGCTGGGCACGGTGGCACATGCCTGTAATCCCAGCTACTCACGAGGCTGAGGCAGGAGAATTGCCTGAACCCAGGAGGCAGAGGTTGTGGTGAGCCGAGATCGCGCCATTGCACTCCAGCCTGGGTAACAAGAGCGAAACTCCGTCTCAAAAAAAAAGAAAGAAAGAAAGAAAGAAAATGAAAATATATGCAAAGAAAAAAGTATAAAAGGAGTTTTAGAAAGAACTGAGAAAATGGAAAGAGGAAACTCAAATTAAACAAAAATCTTCTGACTACAATCGCTCATGCCTACAATCCCAGTGTTTTCGGAAGCCTAAGTGGGAGAACTGCTTGAGGCCAGGAGTTTGAGACTAGCCTAGGCAACACAGTGAGACCCCCGTCTCACAAAAAAAATTAGCTGGGCATTGGCAGTGCATGTCTTTGGTCCCAGTCCCAGCTCCTTAGGAGACTGTGGTGGGAAGGATGGCTCCAGCCCGGGAGTTCCAGGTTGCAGTGAGCTATGATGACACCACTGCACTCTTGAGCCTGGGTGACACCATGAGACTCTGCTTCAAAAAAAAATCCTGGAGAAGCATCCCAGCAACCCTACCATGGTCGGTCTTCCCGGACACCATGAACCACACTGTCCAAACCTTCTTCACTCCCGCCAGCACCGACCGTCCCCCAAACTATGAGATGCTGAGGGAGGAGCATGAGGTGGATGTGCTGGGGGTGCCCCACAATCCTGCACCCCCGACATCCACCGTGATCCACATCCGAAGCGAGACCTCCGTGCCCGACCACGTTGTCTGGTCCCTGTTCAACACCCTCTTCATGAACTCCTGCTGCCTGGGCTTCATAGCATACGCCTACTCCGTGAAGTCTAGGGACAGGAAGATGGTTGGCGACCTGACCGGGGCCCAGGCCTACGCCTCCACCGCCAAGTGCCTGAACATCTGGGCCCTGATTTTGGGCATCATCATGACCATTCTGATGATCATCATCCCAATCCTGATTCTGCAAGCCTATCGGTAGATCCAGAGGAATCACCCCGGCCAGGGGCTCTGCCCATGACCTGTCTCCCTGGTACTCCAGCTTCCATTCCTCGCCCTGCCCCCAGCCCTTCCTGTATCAGCCGTTTACCCTCACACACTTTTCTGTAGTGGCGTTCAATAAAGTGCACGTGCTCCTGGATCCTTAGGTAAGGTCTTGGTTTGTGTGCAGGGCAAGTGCAGCTAGAAGCTATCATCAAACCTTCCAGCTCCCTGGACCTGACCTTCCACAGCTCCCTCTCCGCATGTGCTTGTCTGCTGGGGGAGCAGGGGGTCCTATGTTGATCAGGAGTGAATTCAAAGTTGGTCTGCCATGAACTGGAAAATGTTTGAATACTCACCCCCGCTGCTGTAATATCTTGACAGAGAAACCATTAATTCTCTTTCTGGCATTTGCTGGAGTTGAAATATACCAAAGGAAAAGGGAAATTAGAAGCTGAAGAGAAGCAGCATGTGAGAAGGAGGTAACTGAAGAGTAATCCAGGGTATTCTGCTGAGCATTTCATGCACAGCTGTTGTTCAGGTCCTGACAACTCTATGAGGTACTTTCCAATTGAAAGAACGGCTCACGCGAAATACCTAGGGAGTCAATGTCGGGCCTGCAAGTTCTCAGTGGTTTAATACCACCTGCCACAGAAATAAGAACAGCACACGGAGAGAAAGCAGATGTAACAAAATGTGAACTGGCAAATGTCTGAGGGAGTCTACAAAATTTAAGAGCTTATTGTTGGCCGGGCGCAGTGGCTCAAGCCTGTAATCTCAGCACTTTGGGAGGCCGAGGCGGGTGGATCACGAGGTCAAGAGATCGAGACCATCCTGGTCAACATGGTGAAACCCCATCTCTACTAAAAATACAAAAAATTAGCTGGGCGTGGTGGCGCGTGCCTGTAATCCCAGCTACTCAGGAGGCTGAGGCAGAGAATTGCCTGAACCCAGGAGGCGGAGGTTGCGGTGAGCCGAGATCGCGCCATTGCACTCCAGCCTGGAGCGAAACTCCGTCTCAGAAAACCGCAAGGAACTCCCAGTGGGAGTAGGGCAAGACAGAGGACTCTGGACATGGGAAGCAGAGGATCCAACCCAGGAGAGAAGGGAAGAGAATCTTCCTAAGAGGCCAGTGATGAGGATGAACTCTGGCAGAATACCCGATGTCTCTTAACTTGCTGGTGGGAGACTAGCAACTAGGGTTAAAATTAGTGACTAAATGTCTGGAGAAATATGAAAATGGAAAGAAAAAAAAAAAGAATTACTAACACCAAGGCAAACAAGAAATTGGGCAGGAAAGGAAAAGCATTCATAGTCTACTCAGTGGCTCAGTTGTAAGTGGCATTTATAGCATCACGGGTCAATAATGGCTCATCTAACCCAAATCACCTGATGACTACACAGATGCCCCTTGACATACGATGAGGTTACAACCTGATAAACCCATCCTAAGAGGAAAGTATCCAAAGTCAAAAATGCATTTTAATACCCCTAGCCTACCAAACATCATAGCTGAGCTTAGCCTACCTTAAACGCTCTCGAACACTTAGGTTAGCCCACAGCTGGCTGAATCAGCCAGCAGCACAGCACGCTGGAGAGGATGGGTGGTTTGCACTGGTGATGGCGTGGGTGACTGAGAACGGCCCAGCATCACGAGAAAACATCTACTGTGTATTGCTAGCCGGGGAAAAGACCAAAATTCAAAATTCGAAGTATGATTTCGACCGAATGCAGATGGCTTTTGCAACATCTATAAAGCTGAAAAATCCTAAGTCAAACCATCATAAGTGGAGACCTATACTGGGAGGCAGGAAGGGTGCGTGTTTAATTGGAGGCGGGGAAGAGGGCATCCCAGCTAAAGCCTCATCTTTCAGAGTAGAAAGGCAATGGGTAATGCCTACGACTCGGTGGCTAAGGGAACTCCAAAACAGCAGCATTATAAACATGCTATTTAGAAGTTCTAAGAGTTGGCCAGGCGCGGTGGCTCATGCCTGTAATCCCAGCACTTTGGGAGGCCGAGGCGGGCGGATCATGAGGTCAAGAGATCGAGACCATCCTGGTAAACATGGTGAAACCCCGTCTCTACTAAAAATCCAAAAAATTAGCTGGGCATGGTGGTGCGTGCCTGTAGTCCCAGCTACTCAGGAGGCTGAGGCAGGAGAATTGCCTGAACTCAGGAGGTGGAGGTTGTGGTGAGCCAAGACCGCGCCATTGCACTCCAGCCTGGGTAACAAGAGCAAAACTCCATCTCAAAAAAAAATAAATAAATAAGTTCTAAGAGTTGAAGGTAGTTGGAAAAACTTTTATTTCTGCCTGTAGGGCCGAATCTTCAAAATAGATGCATAAGGTGAGGCACAGTGGTTCATGCCTATGATTCCGGCACCTTGGCAGGCTGAGTCGGGAGGATTGCTTGAGCCTAGGAGTTTGAGATCAGTTGGGCAACACAGAGACCCTTTCCCTAGAAAAAAATTAAAAATTTTTCAAGTGTGGTTGTGCATGCCTGTGGTCCCAACTACTTGGGAGGCTGAGATGGGAAAATCGCTTGAACCAGAGAGGTCAAGGTGGCTGCGTGCCGTGATGGTGCCACTGCACCCCAGCCTGGGAGACAGAAAAATCCTGTCTCAAAGCAAACAAACAAGAAAAAGTGCATAATTAACTCTGTCAAAAATAAAAACTATATAGTAGTAATGAGGGTGATTTTGCTTACATGTTTCCCCATTTTTTCAAAAAACTTAATGAAATCTTAAAGGCTACATGCTAACATGTCAACAGTGATTATTTCTAGTAATGGGATTGTGGGCCATTTACATTTCTTTTTTCACTTTTGTATATCCTGAAAAACTGCGGAACACAGAGCATATTGATCATAAATCAGAAAAGGCGTTTTACTTCATGCCTGGTCCAAACCCACCCCAAGGTAGAAGTCCCGTCTCCATCATTTTAGCTTTTGTTTGCTCTGCTGAAGCAGAGGGGCCTGCCAACTCCTTCATTCGCACAGCAAATATTTGTTGAACTCCTAAAAGCCAGGCCCTGCCAGGTGATTTCAATACCTGAGCCTTTTGAGCCTCCTGAAGTCCTCAATACCCTCTGAGAGAAACAGCTGGGAGAGGAGCTGAGCCAACACTTCTCATACCTCATGCCTCGATGGCCACCTGGGGTTTGATAGAGCCGGTCCGGGTGGGGTCTGAGGCTGGGGGAGCGAGCAAGCTATTTGAGGTACAACAGAATTTACTTCAGGTTTCTCAAAGGAACTGCCCAGGTCTTCAGTCACCTCTGCGCCATGATGGCGTGCCCATTCTCTAATTCCCACATAGGCTGGATTTCAGTTCCCATATATTTAAACAAAAGTCTGAGACATGGCGGAAGGGCACAGCTGGGAGCTGTCTCAGCTGTTCCCGGTTAGGAGCAGTACCCTGCAGAAAGGCAGGCCTGGGTTTGAATCCCAGCTTCACCATCCACTGGTGCAATTTACTTCCCCTCTCCAGGCCTTCACAGGGGACGAGGTCGTGTGGATTACACGAGGGCACGAGGACATCTCAAGGGCTTGACAAGACCCTGGTACACAAAGAAGACTCAAACAGTGGCTACCTCTAGCTGCAGACAGGGCGTCAGTCCTTTCTCAGCCCTGAAGGACTGGCTGGGATTTCTGGGGAGATCACTTGAGTTTCCAGCCTCCATGCCCTCCAACGGAGAGAGGAACGCCCATGTCCCACCTCTTTCCCAGGACTGTTCTGAGCCTAAACCAGGATGTGCACAGCACTAGGCAGAAAACCTCTTTGGTCCCGAAATAGGTGGCGGCGCTCAGATTTTATTCAGCAAAATTTTCCTGACTCACCCCAACGTGACTACCAAGGAAATAATCAGAAAAAGAAGCCCGTTCCTCTTCCCCTGATCTTAGGAAACCTTTATTTTGAGGGAGGAGGCCATCCACGTGGAGATCAGGTGAGAGAGGCACCAGGTGTCCCTGACGCTCAGCACAAACTCAACAGCCACTAAGCCAAGCATCCTGCTCCCAGAATCTGCCGCCGCCACCGAGAGGGCGCAACAAGCTGAATTTCTCCCCCAGCAAGACATCCTGAGGATCACCACCCTTTCTTCCCAGCAGAGCCCGAGTTTCTTGGACCTCGTTTGGAGAGGGGAGTCTGAGTTTTGCACTTTGGGAAGAAGGCGAGGCTGAGCAAAAACGGTTCCCTGAAGCCCGCGGGAGGATCTGAGCAGACTCCATTCCGAGAAACACGGCGGAAGCACGCGCCGGGGTCCGGCTGAGCCCCCGCCACCCCCAGCCCGCCGGCACTCACGATCTCGGCCACGATGAGGAGGCCCGGTAGGGTGCGGAGGAACTCCCGGTCGTAGGCGAAGCTGCTGCTGCTGGTGGAGAAGTTCTCCGCGAAGGAGCTGGCGGTGGTGGTGACGGTGTGCGAGCGGGGGCGCTGCGGCTCCTCCATCGTCGCGCCACGGCCAGGCTGGCGCGTCCCCAGGGACCCCCGGCGCGTCTGGGGCTGGACGCGCGGCCCTGCGCCCCTGGAACACCGGCGCGGGGGAGGGGAGCGCGGCCGGCGCGGGGCAGGGGGTACGTGGGGGGCGCCCGCCGGGGGGCGTCCAGGCGCGCGTGTCCTTCGAGTGCGGGACGCCCCTAGCGCCTCCGTGCGCGGACTCCTGGGCTGCGCTGGGGCCCTGGAGGAAGAGGAGAGGAGCGAGGAGACGCTGCGGGGCCGCTGCTGGAGGCCGGGAGGAGGGGAGGGGGCGTGGAGAGGGGCGGGCGGGAGGCGGGCAGGAGAGGGACCGCCCCGCGGAGGCGCCACGGACGCCCAGCCTCTTCACCTGTTTCCCGACTCCCAGAGGCCAAGAAGTCGCCGCGTCGCGCACAGGGTGGCTGGGCTGGTAGCCCGGCGGGCGGCGCGGAGGAGAGGGCGCAGGGGTCCTCCTGGCCGCCTTCGGCTCCGGCTCCCGGCCTTTGCCTCCGTCAGGCCCCGCCTGGCCCGGGCCCGCAGCCGCCACTGACCTGTTTCCTTCCACCTGGGCGGGTCGGGGGCCGCGGGCACTGGAGCCCCTTAAGGAAACCCCGGCATCCGGGGGCCCTGCCGCTCCAGGACTCGGCGCGAAGGGAAGGACTGAGCGGGGACCGAGACTGGGCGTGGCGTGGGGCCTCGAATGTTGGGGAAACCACAGGAATGATGACCCAGCCGGACCTTAGACCCGAGATCGATGAGAGGCCGCCAGCACTGCCGGGAGACGGCCCGCGCTTCTCCCCTTCCTGCTGCGGCCGCCACCGGAGCGCGGTGTTATTTCCTGCCCCTCCTGTCGGGAACAATTTGAGGAACCAACTTAATCGCTTGGCTTTGAGGGCACGACGCTCCCAGGAGCTCTGCGAGGCTCTGTCCCGCGGACCCGTGGAGCCTGGGTGACGGCGCCGGGGTCGGAGGAGGGGAGACGTTTGGGGTCCCCAGCCAAGATGAATCAGCGTTACCGTCCCATCACGCTTGGGAAAATAAATGTTTCAAGATGAATTGAGAACTGTGGTTTGTGCAAGGTTAACTTAAGGACAAGCGAGCTGTGCTGTCCTGGCATGGGAAGGAGACGGGGGTCCTCATTTAGAGGCAGCTTGTAACAGGGTCAGGGGAGAACTGCGCTCGAGCGCGGGTGTCTGCGTTTATCCGCTGTTTGATCCAGAGCGAGTGGCTCTACTTTTTGGGCCTCAGTAATGCCGTCGTAAAATGCAGGCTTTGACAGATGGACCTCTAAGCAAAAAGATTATCTTCCGCTTGGTCCCTCCCTCTATCTTGTGAAAGGGTGGCAAGAAACATTTTACCTGAAAGCCACCAAAAGAAAAGGAAATAATCTTTGGCTATAAATCAGGGGTAACGTTGGATTCGCTGTGAGGGTATTCCTGCTGATCTATTCCAAAACAGGTTAAAAAAGAGATCAGAAGGGACATTTTATTCACAGTGTCTTATCAAGTGTGCCGAGAAGAAAGCAAAAACTACAATCTAATAAAATAAAACGAGGAATTAGTGTCTTTTAAGTATAGGGTCTAGCCAGGAAGACCTCCAGGAAAAGCATGGCCGAGATGAAGATTTGGGGAAATTCCATCCATCCATATGCATTTGGTAAGCACCCTGGGCTGGTGGGTAAATCTTAAAAATTTAAAATATAGCACTTTCCCCTGGAGCAGTAGTTCTCAAAGTGGCCCTTGGACCAACAGCAGGCAAGTTCCCTGGGAACCTGTCAGAAAATGGAAGTTCTCAAGCCCCACCCCCAGACTCACTGAATCAGAAACTCTTGAGGGTGAAGCCAGGAAGCTGTGATTGAACAAGCCCTCCAAAAGACCCTGATGCCTGCTGAAGTTAGTTGCTGCTTTAGAGAAACTGTTAATGAGTTTGGGGAAATAAGAGATACATACATGAAATGGCTGGAGGGGACTAACGTTTTGTGCATGACATTTAGTGAATACAAAAGACAGAAAAAGAGTCTAGACAACTCTATTTCCATAACACAAAGGCCAATCCTCTCTTAAAATTCTTGTGGTCGAATGGATTTCTAAATTCAGATTTTTTTTTTTATTTTAGAAAGGTAAAATGTATATATACCACATATTACATAATACCTTCAATGAGGTGTGCAGTGACACTCTAATACACTAATTTTCTGCAAGGAAAATTACATGAATGACATAAGTATATACTTGGATTATCTATTGCAATGTATCAACTATTCACAAAAACATTAATAACTTAAAAAACATTTTATTTGCTCAGAAATTTGTTGTGTCAGGAATTTAGGAAGGGCTTGGCTGGCACGTTCTTCTGCTTTGCATGGTGTAATTGGAGTCATTTACTCAGCTGCTTTTAGTTGGTGACTTGGCAGGGCTAGAAGGTCCAAAAAGTCTTCAATCCCATTTGTGCATTTCAGTGCTCTTTCAACTTGCCTCCTTCTCCGTGCAACTTGGGCTTTCTAACAGCATGAGACACTCATAGTGGTTGGACTTCTTCTACCTGGCACCTGGCTACTGGAAGAGACTTTCTAAGAAGGGCAAATGCAGAAGCAGATCTTTTAAGGCCGGGCCCTGAAGGCTACACAGACTCATTTCCACCACATTTTATTGGTTTAAGCTAATGAATGACAAGGCCAGTCAGATTCACACACAAGGGAAACAGATACCACCTGTGGATGGGAGGAGCAATAAAGAAATGTGGCCGTCTTTTAATCTAAGTGAGATAAACACAGAGACAACAAATAGCTTCGCATCAGTTTAGGTTAGGTTTTTCTACCAAATATGTTTTCTGCAAGATCAGGAAAAAAATTTTGGTTTTCAGCTTTTGGGATTTCAGAATTTCAGAGAAAAAAAATTATACACTGGTTGTTTGCAAACTAGCTGCCCCTTTCCAACTGCTGCCTACATTTGGGTGATTGTCTTCCACCTGAAACTCTGATTGATGCCCATTCTTCCAATAACACTCTTATCCAGTCTACCTTCCATCTTTTGTTTGTTTGTTTGTTTGTTTGTTTGTTTGTTTTTTGAGACAGAGTTTTGCTCTTGTTACCCAGGCTGGAGTGCAATGGCGAGATCTCGGCTCATCGTAACCTCCGCCTCCTGGGTTCAGGCAATTCTCCTGCCTCAGCCTCCTGAGTAGCTGGGATTACGGGCACGCGCCACCATGCCCAGCTAATTTTTTGTATTTTTTTTTTTAGTAGAGACGGGGTTTCACCATGTTGACCAGGTTGGTCTCAATCTCTTGACCTCGTGATCCACCCACCTCGGCCTCCCAAAGTACTGGGATTACAGGCTTGAGCCACTGCACCTGGCCCGTCCATCTTCTTTTTATTTATTTATTTATTTTATTATTATTATTTTTTAAAGACAGTGTTTCACCATGTTGGTCAGGCTGGTCTTGAACTCCCAGCCTCAGGTAATCCACCTGCCTTGGCCTCCAAAGTGCTTGGATTACAGGTGTGAGCCACCACGTCCAGCCACCTTCCATCTTCTTGCAAGAATTATTGTCCTGAAACCCCAGACTAAGGTACCACTGTGCACAGCATAAGGGCCTATGTAAGATATTTCAGTCTATCTCTTCTGATCCCTTCTCTCAGCCAATCTAGAATGCATACTATTTCAGCCCCAGATACATTTTGCATATATCTCTGTAAGTGTGACCCCTTTATGCCCATAGCCAGCTTTTCTTTTAGCCTGCAAGGCCTCCTAGCTTCACACAGCTCAGAATCTGCAGTCTTCATGGGCCATTTTAAATGCCACCTTTTCTGTGATTTCTTTGAATTTCTGTGAGCATTGTTATTTTTGTTTTAGAATTCGTTGATTTTATGCACTTCTTTTTACTACCTCTCAAGAGATACGAATTACTCTTCCTTGTCTGCCACCCGCCATAGGAGGTATTGAATGAATGCTGAGGCTCAAACCTTTTATTTATTTATTTTTTTGAGACAGGGTCTCGTTCTGTCACCCAGGTTGGAGTGCAGTCGCACAATCACAGCTCTCTGCAGCCTTGACCTCCTAGGCTTAAGCAAGCCTCCCCACTCAGCCACCTGAGTAGCTGGGACTACAGGCGATCACCACTACATCCAGCTGCTTTGTTTTTCATTTTTTATTTTTGGAGAGATGAGGTCTCACTTTGTTGCCCAGGCTGGTCTCAAATTCCTAAAGTCAAGTGTTTCTCCCACCTCAGCCTCCCAAAGTGCTGGGATTACAGGTGTGAGCTACCATGCTGGTTCCAAATTTAATTCTTAAATGCAGAAAAATGTCAAAAGCTAAGCTAAGCCCTGTGACCCCATAATGACTTAATGCAGAAGAGAGCTTCCAGCTGAGACTTGTGGGAAGTATTTGATTTGTGAGAAGAAAATGAAAACAGGTTCAGCCCAAGTGATGCCACATGTGCCAGGACAAGCAGGTACTGTGTAATTAGGCACAGAGAAATCTAAGATCTGTTAGCATGGAATGTAGGGTTGAGGGTTTATGCAGAGTCTAAAATATGGCTGCCACAAGGCCATATTACCCAACCAGCCAAAGTTATGAGACACAGCACTCTTAAGGGTCTGTAGGGCTTAGGCCATTCAGGGGAAGCCCAAGACTCGTGAATAATTTAAAGAAATAAATAGACAGCATATGACTTCCACCTGCTATCTGAGAAAGAGGGCCAAAGGATATTCCCATTTTTTAGGCAATTTTCACAGGTTTCTTCATGTTCCTCTTCGCTGTTATTCTAGTTTGAAATTATGGTTGGTTCATGCAAGAATCATCAATGGATGTTAAAATTAGTGGGTGAAAGTGTGATGAGAAAAAGGACATTTACATTATCTCTTAAAAAATAGAAGTAACGAAATAGGAAAAAGATATTTACATTGTCTCAAAGTCTGTCTTCAAAAGATACTGTTCTCTCTTTGAAATTCATAACTGTACAGTGGAGAAACCTTTGGATATCACTAGACATTATCTCCTAATATGATGCAGTGAGAAGGATACAACATCATTTCTGTGATATGCTTACCAATACATAACCTGAATTTAATCATGAGGAGGGAGCAGACAGACTGAAATTAAGGGACAGTTTATTAATTATCAAGTTCACAAAAGACAAACACTGAGGAACTGTTCTATACTAAAAGAGACTAAGGAGACCTGACAGTAAAACACAATGTGAAATCCTGGATTAGAGCCTCCGCTGGAAGAAGAACAAGGGTGGGACAATTGGTGAAATCAGAATAAATTGTGTAGATCAGATAAACATTGTATCGCTGTTACATTGATACAATAATAACATTGTATCTGTTATTTTGATGCTTATACTCTAGTTAAGAAAGTGTTGCTGGCTCGGTGGCTCAAGCCTGTAATCCCAGCACTTTGGGAGGCCAAGGCGGGTGGATCAGGAGGTCAATAGATCGAGACCATCCTGGTCAACATGGTGAAACCCCGTCTCTACTAAAAATACAAAAAATTAGCTGGGCATGGTGGCGCATGCCTGTAATCCCAGCTACTCAGGAAGCTGAGGCAGGAGAATTGCCTGAACCCAGGAGGGGTTGAGAGTGAGCCGAGATCGTGCCATTGCACTCCAGCCTGGGTAACAAGAGAGAAACTCCGTCTCAAAAAAAAAGTGTTAACATTTCAGGTATCTGGGTAAAAGTTTATATAAAATCTTTTTACTATTTTTGCAACTTTTTAAAGACTGAAATTATTTCAAAAACTTAAGAAAATAAAAATAATTCCTTATGGTTGATTAAAAATAGAGCTCTCTAATCCAAACACTTGTTCACACTCTCCAGGCACATTCGACTCTGTGGTTTATCCATCTTAGAACTTCCTGCCTCCCTTCATCTTGCTATTAATACTTGTCTTGGAAAAGAAATCAGATACTTGGCTGAGAAGTGAGTGTTCTTCCCACTCCAGCCGCCAAAGCCACCAGTTTTCCATCTTCCATTTGGAAATAGGCAGAGAGAGAATCGAAATCCATTCACTAAAGAACTTCTGAATCTGGGGTGGGTTTCAGTTCCAAGAGGCTATTATCAATTTGACCAGAGGTTATAAGCCCAAATGACCGCAGGCTTAGGCATATAAAGTAAGAAAATAAGTGAATTGGTCTCAGTTGTTTCCAGAATAGCCTCTTGAATTGCACTCTTCTGAACCAGACACCCTTGGGCTTACATATTAACTTTGTATCAAATTCTTCACTTATGCAAAGAGTACATTCACTTTATTTTTCTCAAAACATGTGACCTCCTGGATCTCACTCTGATTTTTCTCTTTAGTTTGAGACACAGGGTCAAGAAATACTTCACTTTCCGGCCAGGCGCCGTGGCTCACGCCTGTAATCCCAGCACTTTGGGTGACTCTAAGAGCAGAGTAGCTGGAGGAAATATTTAGAAGAGTGGTGAATAAAACGTGAAACAAATGGGATGCTGCTAATGGCAGAAGATGGCTGTCTGAGCCAGGGAAGTTTCAGACTGGGAGACTGTGGAGGGATGTTAAGAATTAACTTATTTTGAAGTAGGCATTCTTAGAAGATGTAATAATAACTAATTTATTGTTAACCTATTTTGTGCCAAGCACTATTTTAACTCTGAATAATTTTATTAAGTCACTGATTTTTTTCTTTAAAAGTTCTGTGTGGGGGCAGTGGCTCATGCCTGTAATGCCAGCACTTTGGGAGGCTGAGGTGGGTAGATTGCTTGAACCCAGGAGTTCAAGACCAGCCTAGGCAACACAGAGAAACCCTGTCTCTACAGAAAATACAAAAATTAGCTGGATGTGGTGGTTCATACCTGTAGTCCCAGCTGTGCATGTGACACTGCACTTCAGCCTGGGAAACAGAGCAAGACCTGTTAGGACTCTTGACCTTAATGAGAAAGATAGATAAAGCTGCCTCCATGGGCTCAACATTTATTTATCTAATATGCCACTCATTATTAAAATATTCACCTTGGCTGGGCGTGGTGGCTCATGCCTGTAATCCAAGCACTTTGGAGGCCAAGGTGTGTGGATCACCTGAGGTCGGGAGTTCAAGACCAGCCTGACCAACATGGTGAAACCCCATCTTAAAAATAAGAAGAAGAAGAAAAAAATTTTTTATTATTAAAAAAATAATGATAAATAAAATATTCACCTCAATAAGACACTAGCCCTTCCCTTAATGAATAGGTCATCAAGAGATTGAGAGAAATCAGTACATCAGTGATGGGTGGGACCCTTGCCAGGCCAAAGGTGGGCCCAGGGCCACTCCCATGTAAAGGGAAGGTGGTGAGGTCAGCCTGGGGCTCAGGCAGTTTCCTCAAGGAGCAGCCATTTAAACTATTTTCAAGGACCATTCAAAGTTAGCTAAGCAAAGAATAAGGGGACAGGGGAGAAAATTCTAGAAGGAGGGACATAACCTCTCCCAACAAGACACATGTGACCACTGTGTTTGCTGAGAAATGTAGCTAGAGGGAACTTCAACCCTCTTCCCTACCAGCATAGTAGACAATGGGCTGTCCCTGCTCCCTGTCCATTCCTTCAATGAACATTCACTACTTTGGGAGGCCCAAGATTGGGCAGATCACGAGGTCAGGAGATCAAATGCCCCCCTGGCTTAGCATGGTGAATAAGGGATATTAGAAAGGAAACCCATCTCTTACTAAAAATGACAAAAATTAGCCGGGCATAGGTGGCATGCACCTGCTAGTCCCAGCTACTCGGGAGGTGGAGGTCAGGGGGAAATGGCTTGAACTCCAGAGGCGGACCGGGTTGCAGTGAGCCAAGACTGCATGCTGCACTCCAGCCTGGGGATAGAGTGAAACTCCATCTCAAACAAAACAAAACAAAGACACAAACAAAACAAAACCAAACAAAAAATGTTCACTAAACCATGCTTGGCAAGGGGAAGATGTGGAGAAATTCCATCAGTGAGCATTTATGAAGCGCGAGGTCAAAACATATGCACATCCTGTTCCAGACAGGGAAAGTGCACAGGGGGTTGGTTGTGGGGGTGGGGTGGGGCTGGTGTGGTGGTGGTGTGTATAAGAAGAGTGAAATACTTGAGTCTTTTCCTGGTCTCCAGACTTTTTACTTTTTTTTTAGCATTATAAAAATCAGTAGAAAAATTGAAATTTTTATATATATTTAAATGTATACACATACATTTTTTCCACACAAAATAAGAGGACTGGAGGATGGGATAGGGGGTGGATGCTAACAGTTAACTTGATCCTCCTGTAGTGTGGCTTAGTTAACCCCACCTCAGGTTGCAGAGCAGAAAATCACTGAGCTTTATTGAAGAAAGGCCAAGTTTCCCTGAAACATGTATTAAATGGGCCCATTCAAAGAAGCAAACAGTATAATGATAAGCAGATGGAAACCCACGAAAGACTGTGTTTGAGGACCAGGCCTGAGTGAGATGGACATTGATTTTAAAGAAAAGATCAGCTGACGGCCAGGCATGGTGGCTCACGCCTGTAATCCCAGCAGTTTGGGAGGCTGACGCGGGTGGATCACAAGGTCAGGAAATCGAGACCGTCCTGGTCAACATGGTGAAACCCCGTCCCTCTACTCAAAGTACCCAAAAAAATTAGCTGGGCATGGTGGCGCGTGCCTGTAATCCCAGCTACTCAGGAGGCTGAGGCAGGAGAATTGCCTGAACCCAGGAGGCGGAGGTTGCGGTGAGCCGAGATGGCGCCATTGCACTCCAGCCTGGGTAACAAGAGCGAAACTCTGTCTCAATAATAAATAAATAAATAAATAAATAAGAAAGATCAGCTGAGTTTGGAGAAGCTGCCCTAGAATTCCCTGGAATAATGGGAATCACAAGGCAGGTGCTACTAAAAATACCTTGTGCGTGTTAATAGCACCTTGTCAAAAGTCCATGGGCCAAATCCTACAGGCTTTATTTGTATTTTACTGACAAACATTCTAGGCTCCCTTAAAAGGTCTTGAAACAGTGTCAATATGAAGTTCCTAATGCCAACCGCCTTTCTCTGCCCAAGGAGACGCAAGGATCTGTTGTCCAAAGCTGACAACCCCCAAAGCAGTGCCAGGATAGTTGCAAAATGAAATCAGAAACTCATCAAAAAACTGGACACGGGCCAAGTGTGGCAGCTCATTGCCTATACTCCCAGCACTTTGGGAGGCTGAGGTGGGGCTGACCACTGGAGCCCAGGAGTTTGAGACCAGCTTGGGCAACATGGTGAAACCCCATCTCTACCAAAACAAAACAAAAAAACCCACAAAAGTTACCCTGGGCGGGGTGGTGAATACCTGTAGTTCCAGCTACTTGGGAGGTTGAAGCAGGAGAATTGCTTGAGCCTGGGAGGTTGAGGTTACAGTGAGCTACAGTTTCGCCACTGTATTCCCTGGTGACAGAGGGACTCCCTGTCTCAAAAAAAGAAAAGAAAATCAGAATAATTACACCCATAACATGCCTCACCAAAGACTCTAAAAGGAATACATTAGGCAAAGCGATTTAGGGAGAGGTGATTTGCTTACCAGGTTCTTTTGCTTTAGAAAGCATTAATTGGAGGGCTCTTCTGAGCCAGGAGCCAGCAAACATAAGGATTTGTTTATGGTCAATAAACTATTTGAGGAGCCGTGATGGAGCTGAGAAATTTAAAGGTGGCTAGGTTTCTATCTAGAGTCACCACCAAGAAATATCAATAAAACATCAACTCTGTACAAAAGATATATTTAAGTATGCATCCTTGAAGAGTTACTCGGCAAATAAAAGGTAAAATGTATTACAGGATTGTTCTGGAAATTCTATTGCCTGTCTTTTATAATGCCAAGAATCACTCCTTTGTTTTTTAGTTTCCATGTGCAAATCCACTTTGCTGAAGGTAAATAACTGGCCCTTCAGGCCCAGCCTGTGCCTTGCTTTGGGAGTTGGGGGAGAGGTTTTGGGCCTGGGTAGCAAGGCTTCCATTGCACAAGCTGAAGCAAGGTCAGCATTAGGTGTATGCCTACATGACACACACTGTTCTCCCCTCCCTTGACCTGGTGAATCTGTAACCAGAAAAGCCAGTTAGATCTCCTGACGCAGTCAGAGGGTGGGTGCTGGTGGAGAAGGAGCAGGGGATGCCTTCGTGGGAGCTGTGTTTTCACAGTGGGGAGTCCTGATGCCTTGCCTGTGAGGGCCTTCACAGACATCCGAGAATGATGGCAGTGCCAGAGAGAAGAGAATTCACCATGGACACCTAGCCTAGTGCCTAGCAGATCGCAAGCATTCAACAAGATCTGGAGAGAGAATGGGGTTCAAAAACATGGAACTTTTCATAAATTCAGAATATGATGAGGCTCCAAACATGTCATTGTGGACAGCTGAGATCCAGCTGGGCCCTGAGTCTCACATACTATTATTTTTTTCTTTTTTTTTTTTCTTGAGACAGAGTCTCACTTCTTCGCCCAGGCTGGAGTGCAGTGGCGCAATCTCAGCTCACTGCAACCTCCGCCTCCCAGGTTCAAGCAATTTTCTGCCTCAGTCTCCCGAGTAGCTGGGATTATAGGCATGTCCCACCACACCTGGCTAATTTTTGTGTTTTAGTAGAGGCGGGGTTTCACTCTCTTGGTCAGGCTGGTCTTAAACTCCTGACCTCGTAGTGCACCCGCCTCAGCCTCCCGAAGTGCTGGGATTGCATGCAGGTGTGAGCCACCGCGTCCAGCCTGTTACTATTTTTCTTCTCTCCACCTCCGTGAATGGTGCACTTTATCACACGAGGAGGAGTTTCACGTTGGCTTTGTTTGCTTGTTTGTTGAGTCAGAGTCTTGCTCTGTCTCCCGGGCTGGAGTGCAGTGTTGTGATCTCAGCTCACCTCAACCTCCACCCTCCAAGGTTCAAGTGCTTCTCCTGCCTCAGCCTCCTAAGTAACTGGGACTGCAAGTGCATGCCACCACACCTGGCTAATTTTTTTTTGTATTTTTAGTAGAGATGGGGTTTCACCACATTGGCCAGGCTAGTGTTTTGTTTTTTTGAGACAGAGTTTCGCTCTTGTTGCCCAGGCTGGAGGGCAATGGTGCAATCTAGGCTCACTGCAACCTCTGCTTTCCAGGTTCATGTGATTCTCCTGCCCCAGCCTCCCAAGTAGCGAGGATTACAAGCATGTGCCACCTTGCCTGGCTAATTTTTGTATTTTTAGTAGGGACAGAGTCTCACCAATTTGGTCAGGCTAGTTTCAGACTCTTGACCTCAGGCGATCCACCCTCCTTGGCCTGCCAAAGTGTTTGGGATTACAGGTGTGAGCCACCACACCTGGCTATTTTGTTTTTGTTTGAGACAGTCTCACTTTGTCACTCAGGCTAGAGTTCAGTGGTGTGGTCAGAGCTCATGGTAGCCTCGACCTCTTGGGCTTAAGTGATTCTTCATTAGCCTCCCAGCAGCTAGGACTACAGGCATGCACCACCATGCCCAGCTAATTAAAACTTTATTTTTGTTTTTGTAGAGACATGGTCTCACTATGCCCCCCAGGCTGGTCTCAAATTACTGGCCTCCAATAATTTGAGTGCTCCTCATGACTCAGCCTCCCATAGCACTGGGATTACTGGCATGAGCCACCATGCCTGGCTTATGTAGGCTTTTTAAGACACAAATTAGAGATGGCAATCACTTTAATTCTGTAGTCTTTTCACTTATTTTAACTACTCAGATATGTCAGAAACTCTGGTTGTCTGCTAGTGCCCACTCTCCCCTCCTTCAAAGATAGAATTCTAAAACTCTAGCTGGACACACAGCCACCTGATTAAAGATATTTCCCAGTCTCCCTCACAGTTAGGTGCGGCAAGGTGGCTACACAAATAAAAATAATAATAGTTTATACTCTTTTTTTTTTTTTTTTTTTTTTTGAGACGGAGTTTCGCTCTTGTTACCCAGGCTGGAGTGCAATGGCGCGATCTTGGCTCACTGCAACCTCTGCCTCCTGGGTTCAGGCAATTCTCCTGCCTCAGCCTCCCTAGTAGCTGGGATTACAGGCACGCGCCACCATGCCCAGCTAATTTTTTGTATTTTTAGTAGAGACGGGGTTTCACTTTGTTGACCAGGACGGTCTTGATTTCTTGACCTCGTGATCCACCACCTCGGCCTCCCAAAGTGCTGGGATTACAGGTGTGAGCCACTGCACCCGGCTATAGTTTATACTCTTATATGTGTCGAGTAACTATCCTAAGTGCTTTAGATATACTTTTCACAATAACTTCATGAAATATTTAAAAACAGGAGTACAGATATGTTAAGTGACTTGGCCAAGGCCACACAGATAGGGAGTGGTAGGGCTGGGGTTTCATCTCAAAAATGGGGCTGCTGAATCTGCAACTAACTCACATTTAGCCCTAATGGATGAAAGTAGACCGTCTAGGCCACGCCCTCAAAGAGGAGAGGATCATCAGCCATTGCCCCTTCGCTCTTTCCTCCTAGCAAAAAATCACCATCTTAAACTACAAGATGAATGCTCCATACCGAAAGTTGGCAGAACAGCAAGATAAAAAGAGCCTGGGTTGAGCGGGGTGCAGTGCCCTGTAATCCTCAGCTTTGGGAAGCTGAGGCAGGAGGATCACTTGTGGCCAAGGCCAGCCTGGGCAATATGGGGAGACTCCATCTCTACAAAAAACAATGAAAAAAAAAATTAGCCAGGTGTGATGGCCTGACCATGTCATCCTAGCTACTTGGGAGGCTGATGCAGGATTGCCTGATCCTAGGAGTTCCAAGGCTGCTGTGAGCTATGATCATGCCATTGCACTCCAGCCTGAGTGACAGTATGAGACCCTGTCTCTGCAAAAAGAAAGAAAGAAAGAGCCTGGGTTCCCAGAGCCACAGAACTATCCATCAGTCTTGATTCCCAATGTTCAGATTGTTGCATGAGAAAGAAATAAATGTTTAACGGATTTTAGCCATTGTTATTTGGAGAGGAAAGGTTGTCTTTTATCACAGCCATATTGTAACAAGGGATATATCCTAACTAATCTAGGTCACAGAGGGAAGGAAAACATATCTTTGAGCACCTACTGTATACCTGCTGTCTTCATATATTACCTCATTCAACTCCTAGAAAAGTTCTGCAAAATAGGCATCATTAGCCAGTATCTGCAATGAGAAATCTGAGGCCAGGGTGGCAATTCATCTAAGATCATATAATTAGATAGTTGAATAGGCCAGGATTTCAATAAATCTTCACCCAAGGCCTCTTTTTCACTATTCTATAGCAATGCCTCCTGGAGATGGTGACTCATTCATAAAAGACAATTTCCACATCTGTATCATGATTCATAACCCTTTTTTTAATTCTTCGAAGCAATCTGATCAGATTGGTACTCTTAGTTCCATTTTATAGACGACAAAACAGGCAAGGCATGCAATTACACCTCCAAAGTCAACAGAGAGCCTAGATTTAGAAGTTGCAGCTGCAGAAATTAAAGACTGATGATTCCCCTACAAATAGAACCGGTTTGAGACCCCAAAAGCCCTTACTCTTGAATCTTGCAAAATAACTGCTCATTTTTCATGAATTTTAAAGGCGTGGGATGTTGCTATGAGACAGACAATCTGTGTTTAAGCTGATTTTTAGAGATCTTTCCTAAAAGGTTTGACTATTCCAGGTTTGTGTGTCACATTAGGTCTTCTAGGCTTCAGGGACAGTTGCATGAAGTCCCTCAGCCTGGAAACTGGCCCTCTTTCAGAGACAAAGATGTAGTTACCAAGATTCTTGCATACTCTGCCATGAATAACCTTAAGGTGGGAGACCTGGAAACCTCCCCAGTACCCAGCCCCAAGTCCCAAGTCCCAAGTCCCAAGTCCCACTGTTTTTCTTCTTTGGTTTCCGGTGGGAGAGCAGCTTTCTCTGTTACCAGTCTACTTAGGGGTAAATGGTGGCCAACTGCTCCCTATGACATATTTCCTGGGTTAACAGGATGATATGGTTTGGCTGCAAACCCACACAAATCTCATTTTTTTTTTTTTTTTTTTTAAGACGGAGTTTCACCATATTGGTCAGGCTGGTCTTGAACTCCTGACCTCAGGTGATCCGCCCGCCTTAGCCTCCAAAGGTGTGAGTCACCACGCCCGGCCCCAAATCTCATCTTGAATTGTGACTCCCTCAATTCCCATGTGTCATGGGAGGAGCCCAGCAGGAGGTGATTGAATTATGGAGGTGGGTCTTTCCTGTGCTATTCTTGAGACAGTGAATGAGTCTCATGAGATCTGCTAGTTTTAAAAATGGGAGTTTCCCTGCACAAGCTCTCTTTTGCTGCCATCCATGTATGATGTGATTTGCTCCTCCTTGCCTTCCACCATGATTGTGAGGCTTCCTTGGCCATGTGGAAGTGTAAGCCCCATTAAACCTCTTTCTTTTGTAAATTGCCCAGTCTCAGGTATGTCTTTATCAGCAGCATGAAAATGGACTAATACACAGGAATAACCAGATCAAGCTGGGTCTCACACCTAATTTCCCAGGGAAGGGGGAACAATGTTGTAACTTAAGCCCACTGTCTGCCCTTCATCCAATCAACCATGCCCAGTGAGAATATAGCTGTGGAGATTTGGGGAAAGGTCTGTTCTCATAGAAACTGCAGGAGCCAATGACTTAGAACATTGTTACAAGGACATAGGACAGGGTTCTCAAATCTATCTGCACATCAGCATCTTCTGGGGAATCTTAAAAATCTACCAAAGTCCAAGCCCTACCCCAGAGACTATGATTTTTTGGTGCTTTGTCAAAAGTTAACCAGGTGATGATTTGCAGGCCATGGTAAGATATTTGCAACGTGTCTTAACAGTACAGAGGAATCCTCTCAAAAAGGGGAGCTCTGTGTTCTGAAAAGTGGTTTGCTTTGTTCTGTGACCGTTAGTGGCTCGATTCCCTTCAGGTGTTAAAGAAACATCCAAGGATCTGCTAACTGAAGAGTGGTCCACAGACCACTGGCATCATCATCACCTGGGAGCTTATTAGAAATGCAGAACCTCATGCCCCACCCCTGACTGCTGAACTAGAATCTGCATTTTGACAAAATCCCCAGGCGCTTTGTGTGCACATTACATTTGGGAAGCGCCACCTTGAGACCCTCATTCTCAAACTTGGTTGCACATTGGAGTCATTTGGGGCCAGATCCCACCTCCAGGGATTCTGATTTAATTGAGCTGAACTATAGTCTGGGAATTGAGATTT